ATTTAATTCATGATGGACTACTTTTTGATAACACTGTGGTTGCTCTAAGCCCGATGCACCTCCTAGCTCTAAATCCAAAACCCTTGGCTCCCACGGTTACTATAAAACTATAAAACCTGTAGGATCTTGTTGTTGGTTAGTGTAGTCGCACACGTTCCACACCACTAAAGACATGTTTAGGCTCAGAACGTTTTTCCTGCTTGGCTCTGAATAATATTGTTTGGATGTTCGGCCAGGTCACTAGATTTAAGCTTGCCTCATCCTACCTTGAGTCCCGGTCCTTGCCTCTAGGGTTCTTTACTTGAGGACTCGCCCATGGTGATGGCAGTGGCTCCTTCCTTTACCCCCTCCCTTTTCGATAAAATTCGATATTTGTTATGTCTAAGAGTGGGCTTTACAAAATTGTCATTCTCATTTTGTTTCGCTAAATTGCCATGTACGTAGACACCTTGTTTTCGTGACATTCCCTCTCCTTTTCTCCTTCCCCTTTTCTTTTCCAAAACTCATGCACCTGGAAAGAGTTGATCTTGCCACCAATCGTCACTGGTACAAACCAGGACTAGGGACCTTGGACTAAAGGTCATTAGTACCATTTTGAAAAGCCCACTCTTAGACAGGGAAAATATCCATTTTTTCTCATTCGCCCCCTCTAAATGTATGGAGATGTCGATAGACAAGGCACCCACCAAAAACCCCTGCACCATGAGCAACTTATACCTTCAAGCCCTCTTTCCGCTTCATGCTCCATGCAAAAGTGGCACAACTCTAGTACTCAAAGAAGATGTGCTCTAAATTTGATGTTTTGATCTGAATTTTTGGCTTCAAATTCATCTTTGATATGAAATCTTCTATAACTAAATAGGAGATTTTTGGATCTATTTTCCCTTAATCTTCAGACAGCCACGTCATCTATTGGACCAAAAGTGGCATCTCTCTGGTAGAAAGAAGATGTGCTCTAAAGGAATGTTTTGATCTGATTTTTTGGCTTTTTTCATCTTTGATATGAACTCATTCTACTAACTAAATAGGAAAGCTAGGTCCTTTTCTGCAATCTTAGACAGCCCGTCATCTCTGGACCTACACATCATCTCTCTCTCATTCACGCACAGAACAGAACTTGCAATGCCCTCGCCCGTCTTTGTGCTTCCACCCATAAAGTGTCATCCTTATGGTCTCGTCACTAACTCCCGTGCTAGCTAGGCCTCTTCTCAGTTCCCTGCATCCGTCTTCTCTCCTCCTACCAATCCTCTCTCATCCACGCACATCAATACGCTTGCAATTCCTCGATCTGTCTCGCTTCGCCACCCATAAAGTGTCATCCCTATATATGTGTCAGAGAGACCAAAGATTACGGTGGAAGCCAAAGCAGGAAGAAGCCTCCAATTCTTAATCCTCATGCATGTACTTCCACGATGGTGGCTGCCACAGCGCCTTCAACTTCGTCTCCAATCCTAGGTCTTGTTTAGATTGTAAATTTTTGTTAATTTGAATTGTTGGTAAAAATTTCATTCGCTAAAAAAAATACTTTAAATAATGTGAATTATAAGCTAAGCCAAACGGGTATCGTCTCCGATCCGTCCCTGCTGCGAAGAACGACTGTAGCAGTACTATCACCCCAGCCAATACTACATTGGCATCGTCGACCAATTGGAGGCCTCCGGCGAGACCAGCACAAGCCGTGAATCGACTGTTCTGCACCGCTATTTCTACGCAGCGAACGAACGGTATTTGGGCCGGCTGCGGCGGCACGCACGAGCTCCGCGGGCCTCGAGGAGTGCCTGCGATCTGCGGACGAGACTGGCTCCAGCTAGGCTAGGCCACGCTGCCGCGACATCTTTCACTACGAGGCGTACCCATTTGTTTTAGTTCCTATATATGCTCATCATGCTGTCAACGCCAATCCGCAATTGAAACCTGAAGGTTAACATTACCAAATACCAACAAGCAAGTGACATCAGGTAGCAGGTCTGCGTGGAGTTTGCTGCCTCACCAAGACCTTCCCTCTCCATACATGTCTCACAGTCGGACACTCCTTTCGGTGACGGACACTTATTCAGATTAGTAATTTAGATTACTATATACTTCTCGCCTTCATACTTTACGTATTATCTTCCTTCTTATTTTGCAATTTCCTATCATCAGGTGAATCCATGAATGATAGTCCTGACTCAATAGCATCTCACTTGGATTTAATTCAAAGCCAAAATAATGTAGACCTTGATAAACTATTTTTGTTTTCTCACAGCATCCTCCTTTTCAGCAGCGACTGAAGATGGATCACTATCTTCCATGTGTTCGAGATTTTAAGCCAAAATCAGGAAGCAGCCAACGAAAAATGGGGTTGGCGTATTTCCATGTAGTTAGTAGCTCACAAAACTATTATGACTTACGACTGTCCTGCCTGTTAATAAAACCGATGAAGTTTATACAACGGTTGTTTAAAAAGGTGAACCAATAACATTATATTGATTCTGTCATTTTATTTCATATTTTTATCATTTTTACCTGAAATTTCCCTCAATCCCTCATGACATTTTATTTCGCATTTGTTTATCTGAAATATACCCTCAATTTCACCACAACTCGCTATGATGTCATTGTGAATGGTAAATATCAATTGTGTCCCTTCATCAATTCTCCTCTCCTGTGCTAGTGTCTACAAACCCGCAGCAATGCGGGGTATCATCTAGTTATTTAAGTTTTGACATCCAATTCAATACTTTGCTTATAAATTTCAGTGCCTGTGCAATTCTCGTGCTTATTGTGGTGCATTGGCAGGCAATTACGCTATGTTAAGCAAATACCCGGCATGGTTGTTTTTGAGTCAACAAACAATATCTTCCAGTTGAAACATAGTAGCTTATTATATTGCATATGTTTTCTTCTCCACAAGATAATACTACAGGTATAACCCAATTACATGTGAAAGAATTCTTATACGTACTTCGAAGCAAGACCTAACTGGGCAATTCGTGATTTTCAAACATTCAGAGTGCATAGAGATGTGATGTACGAGTACCTCGCCCACCTCCGCGCATACAGGAAGACGTCGACGAGCAGTGTGAGGAAGAACCGCTTGGCGTGGCCATGGCCAGGACCTCGCGGTCGTTGGAGCTAGTGGTAACGTCACGCTGGAGAAGAAGTGGGGACACGGCCACGGCCCAACGGAGCACGTACGGCCAGCGAGCGCGGAGGCAGGGGCGGGGCATGGCCATGGAGGGCGGTGATCCGCAGCGGCGGTTAGCGCTCGAGGAAGGAGGCGGGGGTGCGTGCGCGGCCTCTCCGGACCTCGTGGGCGACGGGCAGCCGGCCATGGTGGGCGCAGAAGGCCCCGCGGTCTCGCCGGAGCTCGCCGAACCGACGCCCTCCATGTGTTCGATGAAATGCCAAAGACGATGTTTGGTGTGTGTGTGGGCTGTGTGCGTGTGTTAACGTCACCATGATCTAGTTCCAGGGTCACCGTACTCTTCTGTACATGCAAACAAACACGTTCTCATCTTAGCTCGGCTATCAAGAACAGGCAATCAACATAGACATTCGTACCATTTGGACTGGACTCTGGGTGGCCGTAGCCAGGCCAGCCAGATGCGTGAAATCAAACACGCCCTTCATGTGTGCTTTCACACCACCCCAGTTTCGTCTTGTTTGCTTAGTCTATAAGCTATACTTTTTCAGACAACGAATAATATTTTTTCTCACGACAAATTAGCCAACAATACTTTCTGCTTAAGCGAACAGCGCATTTGCCATTTATGTGCATGCCGCAGCAAGTACGAAGTCCATTGATATTTTAGCGGGACAAAGACACAAATAGTAGTAAGCTGGGACGATACAGGGACAAAACAGTCACTTTCCAGAGAGCACACACAAAGGCCTCGTTTGGATGGTATGGTTCTAGAGGAATTTAGATGGTTTGGAAGAATTCTGGAGGAATTTATGAGAGAAAAATATTGTTCCGGATGAAAAAAGAAGCAGATCAAACTAGATTTAAGGACACGCGAACGAAACCAAAGTTCCCAAGCTTGTAGCAATAGTAGCATTGAAGTAAATACGCACTAGTTGGTGGACTTTTCTACACGAGAGGACCACGGAACTGACGGCCGCACACCCCGCTCTAATTTTAAACTTCCGGTTTTTCGCAAGGAATTAAAACTTTGGTTAACAACGAAACAGAGTGCTAGCACAACATTTTTGTTTTGAAAGTGGAGAACTGCTGTCTGGAAATTCCCGCGCTGGGCTGCCTCTAGCGGTCTAGCCCTGCTCGGCCTCACTCAACCGGGCCTGAGGCCGAGGGGGAGAGAGGTTTTGCTCGCGTTCGTGTTCGTCGTGGCATGGTCGCACCTGAATACCGAGGCTGCTGGGGGTGCTGCAGCGTGGCATGGGTGAGCGGCAGCGAGAAAATAAAGCTGGCCATAGAAGGGGATGGGGGACCCGGCTGCGGCCGGGCCGCTTTTACTTTTGGCGCTGCCAACTTCTGGCTGGGCCGCCAATTCTCAGAGAGGAGAAAAAACCACAAAACATGCATGGGGTGCCGTGAGCGACGGACCGCAGTGAGTCCTCTCTCCCTCTGCGGCTGCGAGAGAGTGCGGCAGGGGCCGTCGCCTTTCGGTTTACCCTACGCCTGCCCAAGTTAAAAACAGCGACCAGAGAGAGAGACAGGCCGCAAAGAGAGAGAGAGAGAGAGAGAGAGAGAGAGGAGAGAGGGGGAGAGGGAGGGAGGGCTAGCAATAAGCTATAGAAGCGGGCCTCGGGCGGCCTCGCTCTCTAGTAGCTAGTCTCTCAGCTCAGCTCAGCTGGGGTGAGGAGAAAGACCATGGGAGGGGGCGATCAAAAAGGTAACCGGCCGGCCGGGTAGCAGCTAGCTAGCTGCTATTGCCGCGGAGCTCGATCCTCCGACTAGTAGAAGTGTTTTTACGGCGACGCTAGCTATCCGAGGGGGAGAGCGGGGTGGAAATAACAAGGGCGCGGGCAGGCGGAAGCGAGGGAGCTGAGGGAAGGAAATGGTGGGCTCCGGCGCGGCTGGGGGCGGAGGAGGGGATCACGCGCGGAGCAAAGAGGCCGCGGGGATGATGGCGCTCCACGAGGCCCTCCGCAACGTCTGCCTCAACTCGGACTGGACCTACTCCGTCTTCTGGACCATTCGTCCTCGCCCGTATGTCCCTGATGTTTCTTTCTCCCTGTCCCTCCGTCTAGTAGCTACAAGTACCTCTCTTGCTTCATCAGTTCCGTCCCGTCCGGACACCAACCAACTCGTCCTAGCTATTGTCTTTCGTTGCTTCATCCGCTCTTGCTATCATGTGTCTGTATATATTTCGTGAGCTCAGTTAATTCTGCATGCAGGCGCTGCCGCGGCGGCAACGGGTGCAAGGTCGGCGACGACAACGGCAGCCTGTGGGTGCTTGTTTTCCCTTGCATTAATTGCTCTTATTTCCTGTGCCGCTGCCGGTGCTCATCACCAACCAATCAGTAATCCATCACTCTGCTATATGCTTTGACCATGTACATGTACTATACCATAGGATGCTGATGTGGGAGGACGGCTTCTGCCGGCCGCGGGTGGCGGAGTGCCTGGAGGACATCGACGGCGAGGACCCGGTGCGCAAGGCCTTCATCAAGATGTCCATCCAGCTCTACAACTACGGAGAAGGGTGGGTACTGGGTAGGTGATGCAGGTGCACGCCGCAGTCGAGTTCCATCGAGTCGTCTCGTCGTCTGCAATTTGTTTCCACCCCACCCCGGCTTTGCTTATTAGCTTAGCTTAGCTGCTGTAGCTAGTACCTAGCTAGGCTCCACGACCACGACGACGACGACCGTAGGAAGGTTAAGGTTTGCATACTAGTAAGCTGGTGGCTGGTGGGTGACAGACAGTGCACCGACTAGCCGGCCGGCCTCCTCTAATTAGCCCGGCAGCTTCGCGCGAGACCGTGTCGCTGCTGTTCCCTGTTCTCCGATTAGGACTAAGAACCCCTGTGCGCAGAGTGTGATTGACGGACGCTAATAGTCGAGCTCCTTCACTAGTGCCGTGGTAGCAGCAGCTTGATTTGGACGGGAGAGAGAGAGAGAGGAAAGGAGGATGCCGCCTGGACGGGACGGTGGGATGGGATGGCTGCGTGCGCTTTCATCTTTTCACTTTGTTCTGTCGCATTCTTACCGCACAGAGAGCTTTTGATATACTACTACAGTTTTTGTAGCAAGTACTAATAGTAATTAGTACTGACCCGCCTGCGTGGTAATTAGCGAGGGCTAGCGCGCGTGGAGTAGGCGGTAATTATGGTGTGGTGTTGGTGAGCTTAACACGGCGGGCAGGCCAATTTTCAAGTCGCGGCTGCTGCTTTTTGCGAGGACTGGAGGACGGGCGCGCTGAGCGGTGTCACGTGAGGGACACGTTGGTTGGAGTGGGGCGGTGCCTCGTGAGGCTTAAACAATCCCCGCGCGTCAGTCAGTGGGTTAAACTGCTGGATCAACTTGTGATTAACATATTCACGATCGATTACGCTACGTTCACAGGCAGATGCTACACGGCATCATCTCCATCGGGGGCAGTGTAATAGCAAGCAAGTCGAGGACGATTTGAAAGCATCATCGTCAGAGTTGCGTCACACATTAGCTGTCTGTCAGTCAGTCAGTCAGTCGCTCTGTTTGTTTTGTGTGTGTCTGGTGTCTTTTGATTTGATCTCGCTTTGCTGTTTGTACCGAGCTTTTGGGGCAGGCATGCATGAATCATGAATGATGTGCTAAGTTAAGGCCTTGTATAGATCACCTCCAAATTCTAAGTTTTTTCACTCTTTTTTCATCACATCATGAGATTAAATATGTCACAAATGGAAATGATTTGGTTTTTATTTGGGCTACTATTTATCGGGTTGGAATTTTTTGCAATCTAAACATGGCCTAAGACGATGGGATTGATTTGGTTTTATTTGGGCCCTCCTGGCTCTCCTGCATGCAGGCTGATGGGAAAGGTGGCCTCTGATAAATGTCACAAATGGGTCTTCAAGGAACCTTCTGAATGCGAGCCCAACACCTCCAACTACTGGCAGAGCTCTTTCGACGCAGTACGTACCATCGTCAGCTGTGCCTCTGCACCCTCTTCCTTTCTCTTTCTGCAGTCGCTGCCCCCCTGCTTTGGGGGTAGCCAGCTAGTAGAGGACGGGGAGCTTCCATGCACGCCACAGTACACACTAGTACTCCTAACTTGGAACCAACGAGCAGCTCCATCCCTGCTCATCAAATGTACTTGCAGCTAGCTAGTGGCATAGTTCTGCCATGCCATGGCGTGTACGTGTTGGCATGGGCCTGCTGGTTTACAGGACCGCAGCGTGGTGGTTTTGGAGTTTTTACTTGCAGTGCATCCATCCTTGCACGCGGCGATACAGCCGAACCCAAATGAAAACAGCAAAAGGATAGAGACACCACGCATGCTGCGTGCACTTGCACATCCCCGGCCGGGGAGCTGAGCTCTCAGGCTTTGCATCAGATCTGCTCCGCGAAAAGAAGAGAATAATTGGATGCTCCATGCATCTGAGTAGCAATCGCCGGCCTGTCACCGAGAATTAACGCCACGATCGCAGTAACCTTTATTCCTGCGCTGCTCTTACCCAATTCTATCGGCTTTTGCTTTTGCAGCTTCCCCCGGAATGGACCGATCAGTTCGCATCAGGCATCCAGGCAAGAGCTAGCTGTTTGATGATTTATCTGACGAATTTTCATTTTCATTTGTCTTTCTAATCAATATTTATATAATCTCTCGGTGATGTATATTTTTCCTGTTCTGCTGCAGACGATAGCTGTGATCCAAGCCGGGCATGGCCTCCTGCAGCTGGGCTCTTGCAAGATTGTGAGTGCCAATTGAAGGCCCTCTCTCTGCTACCACCTGTTTCTATGCTTTGACCTTTCGTTTGTCGTTTGGTTCGGTCGTCGAGGACGTGGACGTGGACGTGGACGTCTCAGCGTCTCACGGAAGCGTAGGCAGACGAAGCTAACAGCGACGTGACACTACTGTGCGCGCGCAGGTACCCGAGGACCTGCACTTCGTGCTCCGGATGCGACACATGTTCGAGTCACTGGGCTACCAGTCGGGCTTCTTCCTCTCCCAGCTCTTCTCGTCCTCGCGGGGCGCCTCGCCGACGCCGCCGTTCCCGCTCAAGCAGCCGCCGCCTCCGGCCGCCGCGCGCCCCCCGCCGCAGCTCTTCAACTGGCCGGGCCATCACCAGCCGCAGCTCCCGTCACCCGCCGCGGGAGCGGCGTCGCCGCTCTTCCCGCCCGGCCCGGGCGCGCCGTTTCACCCGTCGTCCGCGCGGCCAATGCCGCCGTTCCCAGGCGGCGGCAAGGACGAGGGCCACATGTTCCACCTCCCACCGGCGTACCATGGCAGCAACAAGCCACCGCACATGGACGAGCACCAGCAGTCGATGGGGGCCGGTGGCGAGGCGCCCGACGGCGAGCTCCGGTGGCCCAACGGGCTGTCCTTCTTCACCGCGCTCACCGGGCGAGCGGACGACTCGAAGCTGCTGTTCGGTGGCCCCGGCGGCGGAGGCGCCGCGGACGACGAGAAGGCGGCGCCGGACAACGCGCAGACCGGGCACGGCGGGGCCGAGAACGTGGAGGAGTACCTGAGCCTGGAGAGCCACTCGAACAAGGCGAGGAAGGTGGAGAGCGCCGCCCAGAGCACCAAGTTCAAGAGGAGCTTCACGTTGCCCGCGCGGATGAGCTCGTCCGTGTCCACGTCCCCGTTCGTGTCGGCATCCACGGCGCCGCCACCGCAGCAGCAGCAGCAGCAGCAAGGGATGGAGTACCGAGGGCCGCACGAGGGCGGCGTCTACTCGGACCTCATGGAGACGTTCTTGGAGTAGCTAGCTAGCTAGATCCATACGTAGCGTGCATGATCGACCTGCTCGATGTCACCACGAGAAGCGTACGCTTCTGTTTCCCATCATCCTCCCATCTCCCAAGCTTTGTTTCAGGTTTGGAGTTTTAATCGCATAATATGTTTAATTAGATTTGTTATTTTTCTTTTCATCGTGTTTTTTAATTTCCTCTTGTAGTAGTTGTAGCAGCTGGATCGTAATGCAAAAAAAAAAAAAACTTGATGGATACATGCATGCATGCATGCAAGAAGGGCATGAGTCTGCTTCCATGATGGCTGGCAATGCAATTCTATGGTGCAACCGCCATGATGGCGAGGTACAATGATACGCAACACCCAATAATATGGGCTTTTCGCGCCAAAAGCTATCTTGGTCACAACACTGTTGCCCACTTATTGCCCAGGCCAGGCTCCGTTCTGCACCCGCATTTCTGTCGTACCAGCAGCTGCAATGCTGCATTCACACACAGGAGTAACAGGCTAGAACGGCATGGTCTCAGTCAAACCTTGTGCATGATCACCCAACTCCACTGGCATAATTTCATTTTGCATGGATTATTAACACCGTCCAAAATAAGTAACGTTTTTTACTTTACATTTCTTGTTTGACCATTGGTCTTATAAATTTTTTGTGTGTAAATAATAAAATAAATAAATCAATATTAAAATATCTCTAATGATAAAATAAGTCATAACAGAATAAATAATAATTATACAAAATTTTTGAATAAGATGAAATAAACAAACAAAAAGTCTCGAAGTCAAAGACGTCACTAGCATTATTAGCATAAGATGAACGATCAAAGACGGATGGAGTACTGTGCTATGTAATGCCAGTACGGAGCTAGCGACGTAGCGTTGCTCGTAAAAAAGCGAGTGGTACAGTTATGTACGTGCATCGTACGAACGTGTCATGGGGCCTATTGGCGAGTTTTCCATGAAATGATGAGGAAGTTGGAGTGTCCGAAGAACTCGAAGCACATAGTTTCCAAAGGAAAGGAGACGAAAAGAATAGCCGGAACGCATGCATTCCCTCTGCACGCGACACAGAAAGTGATAGTGAGTGTGCTAATACACTCGATTGTTTGCCTCACTCGCCTCGGTACCTGTGTCGTGTGTGCATGTATGGCAGACCCTCAAAGATTATGAAGAACAAATAGGTATGGGTAGCGTGCAATTTGATTTAGTTCCCAGTTAGCACAATGTCGCGCGGCTGCATGCATGTCATCACTCAATGTTCGTGCAAATGCTGAAAAGGGTATGGATCAGATCTGGTTACCATTTGTTTAGTTTGTGTAGGTCAACCACGAATCACTTAGGTTGCCGGATCGCCTCAAACTAATAAAACATTTTGTAATCCCTTTGTCAGTAGATATACTAAATTATGAAAAACTATTTTGATTGATCAAGTGTAGTACATAGCATCATTAGCCTTTTATGAAAAAAATATACCTACACTGCAATATTGGCCCAAAAGCCCTCCCTAACAATTGCTCACAGAATACGTACTGTTTTCACCGTGAATGCACTAACTATTGATATTCCTATTGTCCAGACAGGCAATATTGTGAAACTAGCATTATGCTCTCTCGGTTCTGAATTATAGTTCATTTTAGCTTGGTCCAATGTCAAGCAACAATTACAATACCAAATTAGTTCCATTACATTCTCTATGAAAATATCTTCATGCATATTTATTTGAATTTGTAGCTATTAATACAGATTTATAAATATTTGGTCGAAGTTAGATAATTTTGACTTATATACTCTACAGTATATATAGAACTAAAGTGAACTATAATAAAAAGGACCGTGTAATTAAAAAAAACAAAAAAATCGCTAGATAGTATTTTACTGGGCTCTCCTTGCAGGAGAACAATTCATTGGGCTCCTATCCTACCGACGTCGTCTTTGGACTGGGCTCGAAAAGCTGATTTGAGCCACAAGCCCATTAAGAAGGCCCAACTCTATCAAACAGAAAGCCTCTTCCGTCCGTGCCGTTGTGAGGCTGTCGCCCGGGACCCGCCGGTGAAACCATCAGGCTCCTGCCCACCTCTCAACCGTGCAATCCGGCCGGTGGCCGGATGCAGCGACCCGAAGAGATAGGACAAGCAACCCGCCGCTGGCCGGAGCTCGATGGCGCTGCTCACGCCACCGCTCATTCCCCTTCTCTCGCCGTCTCGCCACCGCGTCTCGTCTCCATGGCTCCTGGCGGCCGGGGCAGTTCCCAGCCATCTCATTTGTCTCTTCCCCCACAGTCACCGCCACCACGATGCACTCTGCCACCCTGGCCCCAATGTCTGGCCGCTCCACCGGCGGCGTCGCAGGGGCGCAGCTGCTTCCCTCGACCAGGAGGAGTCTAGCGCCTCTGAAACCACAGTCGCTCCCGAGGAAGACCCAGGGCCACCGGTTTCCTCTGACGCGGCTGCGGAGGACGGGGTCGCTACTTCCGCCGAGCTGGCGGAGGCGAGCCCGGAGGACCTGGAGAACATCCGCGAAATCAAAAGGGTCCGCTCTTTCCAGCTTTCGTTGGCTCGTTTTGCGTCACTGGAATTAGTGCTTACTGACTTTGCTTTCGTTTGGCTCCGTTGCTAGGTACTGGAGCTGCTGCTGAAGAACAGGGACATGACCTTTGGCGAGGTAAACTAGCTGCTCTCTTGCTTGATTTTTGTGCTCATTTGCATTAATGCCTTAGTCGCATTCATGCCAGTAGAATAACAAGTATGACTTGGACGTTTGGACTTTGGAGTAATTCGGCTGACAATATTAGGATAGACAGATAAGGGCCTTATCTTATATTTTTTCCACTAAAAAAAAAAGATAAGGGGGCCTTATCCTACGCTTGTGTACTGAGCTTATATACATGCTAAAATAAAGGTGTTGTCATATTTCCAAACTTTATAGCGCTGCATGTTCCTTGTTGCTGATAAAAAAAAACTGACACTATATTGCTACTTCTGTTGCTGCATCACATTCACAGGTCAAGCTTACCATCATGATCGAGGACCCTAGAGATATAGAAAGGAAGAGAACACTCGGGATAGAGGACCCCGATGAAATTACTAGGGATGATTTAGCCGACGCTTTGGCTGAGGTACATCGCCGCTACCTGGAGTCCTGCTGAGAGTCTCTTGAAAGTGAATATTAGTGTTCTTTCCGTTTGTGAATATTGTGGATTGCTTACTGGCATCATCATCCAGCTTTACCACTGGCAAATATTTTATGTATTTAGGTGCAACGTAGCGCTCCACTGAAATTAAACTAAAAATGCTACCTCATAGTCTAATATTGTGTGTATATAAATAATAATGTGGAGCAGAAAGCTTAAAGTATTCCCTTTCCTTGTATCATGCAAGCCATGTTGTCTTTCTTTCCACATATCATTTTGAATGTTAGTGCAAAGTCAAAAGATAACATGAGCTAATTTGCAATAAAACTCTGCCTCCATGTTTATAATTTTGCTCCATGGATGAGGTATCCCCTATCTATTTTGTCTCCCTATTTTTTCTTAAATTTAGCCAATCATATCAAATTTGTATTGTAGATAGAATCAATTGCATAATAGATGTTACATTATGATCTCTGCTCCCGCCCTGAAATATATATAACAGAAAAGACAAGATGCTGCTTGTTTTTAACTGCAAATAACAGATTCATATGGAAACAGTTGCGATATTGTTACAAACTTTGTTGTCTTGGTTCTCAACAAAGACAATAATTCTAGATTTGCAGAGCCCCAGTTTTAAAAAATAAAATACTGATACAGTCTTCACCTTCATATTGCTAACGTGCCAATGTGACACTTCACATGAGTTGCACCTTTGTTAGCTGCTAATTGGTCTGATCGCATAATGATGAAGATGTAATTTCTTGCAAAAACCTTTAGTCACTAATGCCCTGCTTGCATATATAGGTTAACGAAGGAAGGATTCCAGAGAATCGTGTTGCACTTCAATTGCTTGCCAAGGAGATGTCAGAATGGCCAGACATTGAGGTAAATAGTGAGAACTCAATTCTTCTCCTTCTGCCCACTGCATTACCAGCTAATAGTCTAACAATGTCATTTTACCTGAGTCTAGGATTGTTTCACCCATACTTCATTGTTGCCTTCATTTTCTTTAGTTTTTTTCATCTTTCAACATTTTCTTGAGTACTGCATTCTCTCTCTCTCGCCCCTGAATGTTTTTTAGTAGAACTGTGTTTTACTGGACTCTCTCTCTCTACCGAATGTTTTAAGTAGAACTGTATTTTAAAATTTAGTTTCCGTTTTCAAATCCATTGTGCAGATAGAAGCTTCAAAAAAGAAGAGCAAACCTGGGAAATCTGTCTATGCAAAAGCCACAGATACTGGCATCGATCCTGAGACAGCTGCTAAAAGACTTAACCTCGACTGGGACTCTGCTGCTGATATAGATGGTGAAGATGAGGACGATGATGAAACTGAAGTGCCGTCTGCAGTGGTAAGTTTGTCATTGACGTACTCCAGCAAATTTTGTTGTACTCATGGGGCTATTATGGGTAAAACAAGCATATGGAAAAACTTCCAACTAAATGCTCATACCTTAATGTTCTTATACCACTTATTTTAACAACGTATTCTTTTGTTTTGTTGCAGGGATATGGTGCTCTGTATTTGTTGACAGCCTTCCCTGTCATCATTGGAATCTCAGTTGTCCTAATTCTTTTCTACAATTCTCTGCAGTAGTGAACCCCTGTGCTCCTCCCGTTCTTGAGTGAGAATGTGAGACGTTGTTGCCTTCTTGTAAATCTGAGTTGCAAGGCTAGTTAATCAGAGTTGCAAGGCTACTCAATTTTTCCAGCTTACACCAAGTGTTGCAAAGATATGACAAGTTGTATAGATGTGAAATTCCAAATTTTGGAATAAGTCTTGAAGATAGTTTTTAAAAAAAAATAAAGTGTACAATATAACTTTGCCAATAATCTGAACCAGAGTTTTTTTTAATGAAGAATATATTTGAATAAAAGAAGTTTTTGTCCAGATTTATTTGACTGAGTTTTATTCAAAATCCTGTAACTTAGTAGGAGGCACGAACAAAGAGTCAATGATATCACGTACTATCTGATAATGTAATACACCAAATCACCAATGACCTGCCCATCCAAGGAAACAGCTGATATAGTTGTGTAGACAGAATTGCAGGCTCGCTGGCCCAACCGCCCAAGACTCAGAGCTTTCAGATACGATGAAGTGAAGTCAACCGAACAGCTCACCGACACAGCATGGCTTGGAGACAATATACGACCACACGGCCCCTGATGTGCTCTCCACCATTTCGTGAAGCCCATTCCATGTGTTTTCCTTCTCCTTCTCATGGACGCACAACTAGAGACCTCTGGCAACCTCACTCTCCCTGGTGCCATGAGCCAACAAGATGCTTCTTCCTTCAAGAGAGAAGGATTCCGCTCCGGTTCACCGTTCACCGACCTCTCGAGCAACGCGTCGTCGATCAATTACCGGAAGGCGCGGCAGGACAAGATCGGCGGGGACGGCTTCTGGTGCGGCGTCCTGTGCATGCACCTGCCGGGCTTGTCCAGGAGGCGGCCGATGCAGATGCAGCAGCAGCAGTCCATGAGCCTGAGCGAGGCGGACACCCGGGCGAGCACGGCCGGGCCAGCCGGCGACCGTTCGAGCACGGTGTCAAAGGCGGCCTCCATGGAGAGGTTCAAGTACAGCTCGTCGTCCTCGGGCACCATGTTCGAGCGCACGGACGCGGGCGAGGAGGAAGAGGAGGTGTCGGCGTACTTCGACCTGCCGCTGGAGCTGCTGAGGATCAGCAGCGTCGACACGGAGTCGCCGGTCACGTCGGCGTTCGTCTTCGACGGCAACCGTGGCCGGAGCGCCAAGAAGATCGTGCCTGAGATCCCGGACCTCGATTTTAGCTTCCCTGCGCCGCCGGTTTTCTCGAATCCTTCGTCGCCAAGATCTTGAAACTACCAGAGAGGAGGTGATCAATATCCCACAAAACTGAGACTACCACTGAGCGCGGATCATGCAACAGCTTTTGCGCTATATATGCGCTGTGCTTTTGGTGTTCGTATACATGTCGTCGTCATCTTTTTCTTGCTGTGTATGTGATATGCACGTTGTAGGCTAACAACGAGGTTGCAATTGTCATGGGTCTGGTGATTAGTTCAATTTAAGCACCTCTTTGTTCAAGCACGCTGTGCATCTGAGATGCTCATAGGCTAACGAGGTTGCAATTGCCATGGGTCTTGTGATTAGCTCAGCTTATGCAACTCTATGTTCAAACAAAGAAACCACCATCAGTTTAGTGTCTACAGAAGCACAATGCAGGATGCAATAGCATTTGCTATAACACGTCTCTTCCCATTGTTCGTTTTTAGTAGGTGAATAATTAGGATTAGAAAGGTCTTTGGAGGCGTAATTTAAATAGAGATTTCTCTTACACTATATCAATTGCTATGAAACAATGTTATGTGTTAAGAGTGCATAACGGAACCAGCCTAGCTCGTAATGGAGGTTGTGCTTGATTTTAGCATTTACTTAAAAAAATTGCAAGATTTTTGGAGGTATAGTTTTTTTGTATTGAATAAAAAAAATTTAAAAAGCAAAGTGTCTTTTTGTTCTCCCTATAGAAACAATTTCCATGAAAAAAATATTTTTCTTCTGCAAAAATAAAACCGTTTTCCTAGTGCATTCTTTGGAAATTGTTCCACCAGCAGCCGGCATCATATTGTCTTTTAAATTCAGCATATATACAGTATATTGTATTTTTTTCATATAAAAGTGTAAAAGCGATTGTCTACTCAGGACCCGAGTGAAAATCCTCTCTCTCTCACACAAATTAGTGTTTTGCTTTCTTTTTCTTCTTTCCAAATAGCATGCATGTAAGGGAGTAAATCTAATATTCACGTGAAAATCTTTTCTCACATCCTAATTTTAGTTATTGTCACTCTGTCAGTTTATGTTGGATTTATACTCAACCTGTATAAGTTATGGTGATTATTTTGTTGTATCTGTAATTAGGGGCCATTTGTTTGGGCTCCTGCATGCTCGGCTCTGGCTCTTTTGTCCGTGTTACTCCCTGTACAGTCCTGTAGCGACCAAGAAAAAGGCTCCGGCTCTGGCACAGCCCAGAGGGGAGCCAGAAGAGCTGCCGCAGGGAGGCTTCTCCCGGCTCTGCTACAGTGCGCTACAGTAGCAGAGCTGGAGCCCACCAAACACAGCCTTAGGATTACGGTAATGCTCAGGGTCGGGCATCCGTCCAATGGAACGCCGCTTCTCGGGCTTGTGTGCGCTACCAGCCCAATAAGCCTGCCTCCTCCTTTGTACGTCTCCCTCGTCTCTCTCAAAAATATCGTTCCACTTGCTCGCCCATCTCACGCTTCACAGCGACGTGCGGCCGTCAGCCCGCACCACTCCGCATTCGCAACAAGCGGCCATCTCCCCCCGCGTGCCCTCATCCTGCACTGCTCGCTCCTCACTCCTGCCCGTCGTGCACCCCAGACGCGCCTCTCGCTCCTTGCTCCTGCAGTCCCACCCACCGCATGCCTATCCGCGCCGTCGGGCGGGCTGCCCGCCTCTGCTGGTGCGGGTGGTGCCGTTGCGCGCCTCAAGTCAGTCTCCACTGATCCAAGGGCACCCACGAGCACAACCTGTGCTGGTGGTGCTCGCGCGCTACCGCTCGGCGTCACCTTCCACTCCTAGGCCGGAATCAACCGGCCCTGGCCTCTCCCTCCCCCTATGTTGCAAATGTATATTTCAAGTGTTTCATATGCTATCATAGGTATGTTGTAAGTGTTTGGTATGGATGTTACAAAAGTAGATCGTAATGTTGCATATGTTGCAAGTGTTTCACATGCATGTTGGAAGCGTTTGTTCAACATGTTTTCAGCTGTTTCAGTCTTACGTTGCAATAAGTGTTTTTCACGTTGTAAGTTACAAATGTTTTATTTGGATGTAGCATATGTTTGACACACATGTTGCAAGTGTATGTTCTAAATATTTCATCTGCTTCAGACGTACGTTGCATTCAAGTTATCAGGGTTACAACCCCGGGGGGTTTCAAGGCACTGATTAGTTAGCAGGCCGTGCAGCCCGCAACGAAGCAGCTAGAGTAAAGGCCCGAACGACCGAGGCCCAGCAAAAGCCAAGCAGAATAGGCCAGGCGCCAAGGCCATGGGTGATCACGACCCCTTCTCCCAGCAATAGCCGTGTGATGCTCAAGTGCGCGACCTCTCTCCCATCATGACCCCCTGGGAGGGACAGGGAGAGGTCGAGCCCTGCTTCTTGACGTGCCTGCCCTGACGAAGGCAAGAACACCACACCGACCCCCAAGGACCGATGTGATGATAGTCCCCTCGGTCCGGTCGGGCACCGTCCCAGCGCCACGTCGCACGGTGGTGACCACGAGTACGATCCCCACCATCCAAATACGGACCGATAGGACGCGTGTACAATCCCACCCACTACGGGATGAGATCCATAACAAGGGTCTTGACCTGGAGATCTCCCTAGCTGGCGGAGAGCCCCAACCTCATCGATCAGGGTCATGGCCCTCAGCCCCACGTAGCGACTAGGCGAACAACGACCTGGGACGGCTACCTACTACGGGTACGACGTCCTAGGGAACCTAGAGACGACGGCGAAGACCATGACGGATGTCGCGTTGCATAGGACAGTTGACGAACCATCACCATGGCTATAGTGCTGCCACGGCTGGCACAGTAGCACCACGTCAAATCCTACTGTGACGTGGCCACAAGACCAAGATGACAGCCACGCCCGAACAAGCCTCAGAAGACGGCGTAGCTTGCAAGCCAAGTTAGATAGGACCCCCCCTCAGGCTCTTAACCCTTAGGTCGGGGGAACCTTCTCTTTGTAACGAGCCCTGGCCCCGAACTTTATATAAGGGCGGCCAGGGCTCCCATCTTGGGGGATCTTCACATTCTTCATCCTCTACCATTCCATCCATAGCAGTAGGGCTCCTGGAGCTTCTCTTCAGGCTGCCCATCGTCTAGCATAGGTTCTACCACCTCTTTCACCATTCTTACACCCTCCATTGTAAGAACTTTAGAGCATTCAAGCGAGGAACACACACTCGATCTTCTCTGAGACTGGACGTAGGGCTTCGACCTAAACTAGTATAAATCCTCATGTCTATTGGATGCTACCATCGTCTTCCTAGAGCAGCGCATCAATCATATAAATTTACTAGTCTGGTTTATAAAACACCGACACAAGTGTTTCATGTTGCAAATGTTTCGTGTTTTAGAGGTATATTTAGATAGTCATGGGGGCACGGCCCGGGCATCGGGGGAAGGGGCACGGCGAGCCGGAGGCCGACGGATGACGTGCGCGACGCGCCTAGGGTCTTGCGGACGAGGCGTGCTCGTGCTCATCCTGGCTCTCAGGTCCCGCCCACGCGAAGAAGGAGCGGCGGGCGTGGCGAGGCGAGGCGGACGGGGGCGGTGTACGCATGCAGGGCAAGACGAGGCGAACGGGGACGAATGCACGCGTGCAGCAGTGAACGGTGCAATGGCAGGCGTGGGCGAGCGGGGTGGCGGCCGAAGCTGGGGTCGTGCGATGGTGTTTTCTGATGAGACGTTCTGCTAGGGCGTTCAGTGGGAGTTTGCCCAGGATACCGTCCGACGGAATCCTTTCCCATCCGATGTTCGGGCGTCAGCAATTCTCTTTGGATTGGACTAAAAACTCGGGGGTGAAAAAAAACATTCTTATTACAACACCTTTAATCTAGATGACCCTGATTTTTTTCTTTTAACATGGTCACAAAAATCGGAGTGTAGAAGAGGAGTTTTTTTTTTAATCCGGGCATGATATAACAAAACGGTAAAAAAACATTTCTCCCCGTAAAAATAGGGAATAGTTTCCCAACAAGAAACTGTTTGTTTTTTGCGTTACAAGACCAAACCTTTTGTTGTCGTTGAGCACGTACTGTAAAATCCCAACCTCTCTACCACGCGGCATTGCCGTCGATGCTCCTATGTCGCTCAACGAGCCATTCCCTCCGGAGACCACCGGTCCTCCACCGCCAAAACGGCCAAACGCGGGCACCGGCGACGATGACGGCATCGACGGAGTCGCATGCACCGCCCTGTGCTCGTACTTCCCGCGATTCACAAGGAAGCCGCGCCCGGTGAAACTCTGGAAAAGCACGCGCAAGGCGGAGTCCCCGATTCCTCGCCGTGTCACCTCATGGTAGCCGTGGTCACCGTCCCATGCCGCCGCGGCCGGGTCGTTGACGTCGGATGACGATGATGGGTCGGCTTCATTCAAGCACTGGGGTCGACTCGATCTCAAAGCCGATCTCAGTCGTCCCGGGTGACGCCACGGGACTCGTCCTCCTCGTCGTTCTCCTTCCCGTCGTCGCCGGCGTCTTCGTCTTCGTTTATGAGCACTCCAAAGCTAGGGCAGGGGTAGTTGAGCAGAGGATGCAGGGTAGCAGACATTGTTTTATTGCTTAGCAAACGTGAGATCCAGCGGTGCCTGTAAATTTTACGCGTTCGATTTATGTAACATTTGTGCGGTTGTTTACGGGTCGTCCTACAATGAATCGTGATTCGTGTCCCGAAGAGAAACTTGTAGGTCTCCAACGTACTCCAACTCTTCCTGAAAAACCCCAGCAAATCGGATCTCGCTTGGTTTTCCTAGCCTGCCTATGTACGTGCCATGCAAGCTTGTTCCTTTATCAGGTGGAAAAATTGCGCACGCGGCTAGCGCGGAGCATGATGCCGTCGCCGGAGAATCCTTCGCCATGGCAGGAGGCCCAGATGGACGTCCTCGGCATCGTGGTCCACCATATCAACTCGCTCCCGCCTCCCGGACACCGCCCGCATCGGCGCCGTCTGCCGCGCGTGGCGCCGCGCGGTGGCGAACCTGCACCCGCCGCTGCCGCCGCAGATCCCGTGGCTGCTGCTGCCAGACTTCAAACTGTGCAGCTTGTCCTCCGACGGCGCCACGGCCGCCGCCCACCGCCTCCCTCAGCCCGACGCCGGCGGGGTGGTTCCGATCTGCATGGGGTCAACCTACGACGGACGGGTTATCTTGCTCAAGGAAGAGAGCTGCTTCTTGCTGAACCCTCTCTCCGGGGCCACGAACCGGCTCCCTGATCTCCGCCTCGCCGGTCCGAGCAAATGGTTCCCCGGAGCCGGAACCTTCGTCAATGCAGCGTCGAATCCAATCAAGCCATCGCCGCCCCGCAAGGTAGTAATGTCCTGTCCACCTGACTCCAGCTCGGCATGCATCATGGCCGGCATCTCAGGTCTCGGGCTGTCCTGTAGATTCGAGCCGCTGCTGGAAGAGCTAGCACGTCCGTATCATGCGACGCCGGCGACGCACCATGCGACGTTCTTCCTCTGCCGGCCGGGCGATGCCATGTGGTCCGTGACCACTAGCCTCCGCATGTGGTCGAAAAGCGACATCGTCTTCCACAACGGCAAGCTCTACCTATTCAGCAGGAATACGTTTCCTCACATCTGCGCCTGCGACGTCGGGGAAGATGACGGCACGCTCAAGGTCACACGCGCCGAGATGCTTCCCGGACCACGGCTACGCGGGGCCGGAGCCGGAGCCATAGCGTCCGGCAGCAGCAAGTTCGTCTTCTACCTGGTGGAGTCGCGCGGGAAGCTTCTGCTGGTCCAGAGGGACTTCAGGGAGCGCAGGACGCATGCGGTCGCGGTCTTCGCGATGGACGAGAGCAGGGGCCGGCCGGAGTGGGCGAGGATTGAGAGCCTGGACGGTGAGATCGTCTTCCTGAGCGCCAATAGTTCCATGTCCGTCCCGTCGTCCTGGTACCGCGGCGCGCGAGGCGACCGCATCTATTTCAGCCAGGAGATGTACATGACCCTCGACGGGTGCACTCGCCGCAGGGACTGCCCTTATCAGCACTACAAGGTGTTCGACATGAGGACGCGCACGGCTGAGACGCTTTGCATGGGGACAGCTCCCGATCACGAGGCCTGGTGCACCGGCCCGACACGCCAATGCAAACTAGTAGGTGGTTCGCTTCTGCATCTGCAATTCTTTGGGTGAGGACCGTGGAGGTATGATTTCAATCTACTACTATGAATGTGAGGCAAAGTTTCTCCAACTAGTTAATTTCTGAATCAAGTATCTGTAGCGTGATTTGTATACCGCTCTGCGTTCTGTTATTCTTTGCCCGTGCGACACGACGCAATTATGACTTATAAGATTACATATATATCAACGATAATACTCTCCTCACGCTTCCGCCCGGACGCCGCGCTTCCCAGTCCACGCCGCTTGCTCCCGCTCGTCGCACGCCCTACCGGCTCCTGCTCATTGCGCCCCCGCCCGTGATGCTCGCTTCCAACGCACTCGCCCGCCATGGGCACCGCACCCGTCTGTCACGAACTTTCTCCAGCGCAGGGGCACCACCCTGGCGGGCACCGCACCTTGTCCGCCACGGCCTTTCTCCAGCGCAGGGGTGTCGCACCGCACCCGCCCGCCACGGCCTTCTCCAGCCGTCCAACGCAGGGGACGCTCGCCACAAGCATTGCACCCGCCGACCCGCTGCACCCCCACCACTCCGCGTCGGCGTCGATCTCCGTGTGCCGACGAGCCTCCATTCGTCCAAGCAACAAGTAGATGTTGTACTGAAAACGCATGTTGCAAGCGTACTCCCTCCATACTGCTAAAGGAGGTCGTTCTGGGCTCAGTTTGAAATCAAGCAAAAGAAGTCGTTTTGGCTTCGAGGGAGAAAAGTGGACGCCGGTACCCCTCTGCTTTGGCTCCCGTGTCCCGTTAATAAGCGCATGCGCCGCTGCATGCCGCGATTCCAGAACCTTGACTCGGCGCCTATTTTGCCGCGCCTCGCATGTTGCTATTAATCGCGCCGCGCCGCCGCCGCGATGCCGCGGCGATCCAGCTCACGATCGCTCCTTCGCCCTTAGCTCTTCTTCTCCACGCCGCACACCAATCGCCCTCGCTCCACGCCGCACGGCTCGCCCTCGCCCCTAGCAGTTCCATGGATGCGGCGGACTCGGCCGCCGGATCGATTCGCCCGGACTCCGTGGCGCGGACTCGAGAGATGATGGAGGAGGTTGCGGACTCCATGGCGCGGACTTCGGAGGAGATCGTTCTGAGTCGGAGGAGATGATCGTCGCCGAGTCGCAGCGATTCGTCGTCTTCGAGTCCCAAAGAGTCTGTCGCATGGCGAATCGCGCAGCGCTGATCGATGAAAATTGAAATAAAAAGCGGCAAGAATGATCGGTAGCGCAAAGGCGCGGCAATGGAAAAACGGAAAAATTCGACCAAAACCGCAAAGATCCACGCAGCATATCAGTTAAAACACGCCAAAAATGCCACGGGTTGAATATAGCGAACCCAGCCCTCCATGCTGCCATGCAAAATGAGCCAACAAAAATAGTCCACGGTTCGAGGAGTCGAACCAACGATCAACATCGGGACGCAGAGGCATAGTCGCTCGGGCTACTCATCACTTACAGACAGGAGGCAACCGCACCGCTATTTAATAAAGGCGTACATGGAAAAATACCCCCTATTTAATCACTCTTTGGCACTCCTTGGTATGCGCAATCATGTCTTAAACGACTTCTAATACCAGTATGGAGGGAGTATGTTTTAAGTATTTTAGATGTTTTATATCGATGTTGTAAAAGTAGATCGGTTTGTTGCACATGTTGCGATGACTATACATATATATTTCAAGTGTAAGTTCCAAATACTTCATCTATTTTAGATGTATGTTGTAAGTATTTTATTTGGATGTTGTAAAACTACTCTGGATGTTGCATACATACATACATACATACATATATATATATATATATACGCGAGTGTTTTATGTGTTTTTCATACGTATGCTACAAGTATTTTATCTGAATGTTTATATTTGTTTGCAATGGCTACACATGTGTTTTCAAGTTTTTTTTGTGTTTAAAGTATTTCAGACGTATGTTACAAGTGTTTCAGCCGTTTCAGATATTTGTTGCAAGTGTTTTATCTAGAAATTGTAAAAATAGTTCGGATGTTGTACATGGTATAATAAGACCCACCTATCACAGTCGCCTCTGCAAGACGCTGCCGTGGGTCACATGCGGGCCCCTGAAGTCAGCAGACGCATTCACGGCGTGGCATGCACAGACGGGGGCAGGTTGTTAGGACCCACGTGGGCTCCTACGTGCGGACGCGGTACTCAGAGCGAGCACGATGATAGAGCGGTACACAGCGTAGGGTCCATACGGTGGGACGTGCGAAAACATGTGGCGTGAATTTCTTTTGCGTGCGGCGCGGCCTGCCCACGAAAGACCGAAAGCGTCCGATATTTGGAACGGCGCAAACGTCCATACACCAGTAACGCCCATATATAAACGACAAAATTACCGAGCATTTGAAGCGGACACAGGAAATACACGGATAAATGGACTAATCATGCGTGCAGCGTCAAGCAGCCGTCACACGATGCTGTCACGACAGGCAGCCGCCACCCGTTGCATTGCACGCTGGCACCATCACCGATTCACCCTGCGGCGCGTCACGGATGGCTGTTGCTTGCTCGTATACGTCGATGGATTATAAGCTAGAAAAATATTTTTCTTTCGTACCAAGAGTACCGTCGTTTACGACGAAACTGACAGGCTGGGTTCGCTGCTGCCGTCGACGCCGGGTGCCAGGCACGACGCCGTCTTCTTCAAAGCGCCCCTTCCCTGGCCGTCGTCGAACACGAACGTGGCCGTGACCGGCGGCGTCGCCTCGCTGTCAGCGGCGACGACGCCAAATCGTTCGCCGGCCCTTATCAGCTCCACGGGCAGGTCGAAGCACGGCGACGGGCAGTACCCATGGATCGCCGCCTGGGCTGGCGCCTGATCCCCTTCCTCCGCGACGAAGTCGAAGACGATGTTGCTGCGGGAGCAGAGCGACGTGCACTCAGATTTCTCCAGCGACGCGGCACGGCTCGGCGCGTACGGGGCCTCTTGCTGCTCGGCAGGCTGGTCCGGTGCCGGTGCCTTGTCCGCTGTCGGCGGGCTCGTGCTGGTGCTGATCGCCCCCTCCGGCTTCTTCTTGGAGAGGCCCGGCAGGTAGAGGCACATGAGCAGCGCGCTGCAGGTGAAGCCCTCTCGGCCGGACTCGGCGTCGGGCGCCGCTCCGGACATGGCGCTGAGTGCTTGCCGCTTTGATCCGAGATAGGAATGCCAGCACCTTGATGCATGGGCGCGGGGGGAAGCGGTCTATATGCGGTAGTCGTGGCGGTGGTGGAGGACCATGCCGCTGGGCGGCATGCCGCTGGGCGGCGAGTGTGCTTCATGTCTTTCCCACTCGAGAGTCGTTGGGAGTTGGCATCCAATAGATAACTGCATTGCATTTAGCCTGGATTTGGATGGTTGACTCGATTTGGGTGTACATGCTGCTTTCAGCAACTTGCAGATTTCACCAGTCATACCGCTTCTGAACTAGTACTACTAACATTTCTGGTCCAGTGAAACCATTGTGCATTGCCTTCTCATTCAAAAATTCACTTTTACAAAGTGCATAAATTCCAACGCCACTCACCAACATTTGGTTATCTCAGTTCTTCTCTACAATTAGTTTAGCTCTTGCATGCCCCGCCTCAATCCTATACAGCTCGCCCACCCCAAAGTGCGCCATCAAGAACCAAACGACCGTGAGCAGCTCGCCGCCGGCGCTCAGCTGCTTGGCGGGGAAGTTGCTCCGGCACTTGTTCGCGGCGTAGCAGAGCATCTCCACCCACACCACGCGGATGACGCGCCACCGCTTGTGCGGCTGCAGCTCCAGCAGCGACTTGGCCAGCCGGCACGCGTCGAACAGCACGGACTTGCTCCGGTCGCCCTTCACGTCCCTCGGCGCGATCTCGGCGTTCACGTCGAGCACCATCCTCGCCGCGGCCCTCGCGTCCGGGCGCGCCATCTCTGCCCGCTGGAAGAAGTTCTTGGCCTCCGCGCGAAACCCATCGAAAGAGGACATGGAACAGTGCCTCTGAAAACGACCGGTGCACTGACGATATCGGTATGCTTCTGCTAGCCTGGTACATGGGCGCTTGCATGCGCAGTCCCCCGGCCCCCGGGGCAGTCATGTTCATGTATGCATGCATGATCCTCCATATTCCTGGCAAGTGGCCAAGGAACCACTGGGTGGGATTTAAAGTTTAAATCATACAATACAAGCAGCATGAATGAATCTCTCGGCCCTCTTCGCTTCTCTTATAATCCGTATTTTTCAGCTTATTTTTTTAGTCGGAATAGTGTTTTTCTCTCACAACAAATTAGCCGGAACAGTGTTCGCTTATCTTATAATCCATACTTTTCAGCTTGTTTTTTTCAGCCGGAACAATATTTTCTCTCACAACAAATCAGCCGGAACAGTGTTTCGACTTATTTTTTCAGTGAAACGAACGAGGCCGTAGCTTAATCTATAGGGACTCGTCGACGGTCCGGACCTCGCCATCGGGGCGATGGCACCTGCATTCAGGTCGGATCAGGTTCATGCAACCCATGAGCAGACACGGGGAGCTAGGGCCGGCCGCCAATCGCTGCGATGGATTCATGGATATGTCGCCCCGTTCGTTTGGGCGTGTTTGGCTTATAAGTCGTATTTTTTCAACCAGCGAACAATATTTTTTTCTCACATCAAATCAGCCAACAGTACTTTCAGCCATGACTTATTAGCCAAACAAGACTAAGCGAACATGGCGTATGATATTATTATACATGTACACGGTACACAGCAGCTTCCATTCCATCAGATGCCTGCCCTTATTGTGGTAGTGGTAGGGCAAAGCAGCGCATGGAGACCCTGCCGTCCCATAAGGTTCATGTTCATGCATTGCATGCACCCCCTGTTCCATTGGATTTGCACACCCGAGATCGATCGATCGACCAACGGTGCCGCTGCAGATCACACACATCGCGCATTAACGTTTTCTGCTTTTTTTTCTAACAGTGACAGCACCTGTGCTGGCTGACTGCCGAGAACATGGCCTTGTTTATCCGGTTGCCGTTGGAGGTGCCAATTCAGAGAACCGAATCGGGCTGCCACAGTAACATATCCTATTGGCAGAACTCAACGGATCGGCAGCAACCGGAGATCGGACAGCACGAAGAACCAGAACCGCATGCATGCCTGCACCGCATCCGCGAAAAAAACTTTGTTGCAACCACCAGATTTGGCGCATCGCTCTAGTTCACCCGCGGCCAAGCCCAAAACCACCGCAATAATACAACAGCTCGTACGATATCCCCGGGCGCGACACGACACAAGAGCCATGGATGCGGTAGCCGACGACGGCGACACGGGCTTTATCCGGCGGAACCCACGCATGTGCGCGTCGTATCATGACAAGCACGGCGATCCCCCGCGATCAGTCGCTCGCCAACCTACACTACACGCGCGGAAGTAAACTAGTGCAAAGCGGATTCCGGGCCGATGCGTCGGTTGCCGGCCGTAGCCGTGCCGTGTCTCTCCCGGTCCCAATGCGAACACGAGATTGATATTAGTCCTTATACTTATTTTGTGATCAGTGATGGTTAACGTGATTCATGACTTAGGTTGAGTTTATGATTCACCATGGCATGAGTTGGGTTGTGCGACATGTCTTTTGGCTTGTGGTGTGCAGGTGTGGAGCTCGGAGGCGGTGATCGATGGCAAGATGAAGGTCAAATAGGGACGTGCCGTGCTGATGGACCGAGAGTGGTGAAGGACGGACGTGAGGCTTGGACTGAGAGACCAGAGGCCGGGTGACCAGCCGTGGTGGCTGAAATCTAGGACATTAACAGCGCAAGTGTGCATAGGAGTGACCGTGTTGACCGAGTCAAGACGGTGGATGTGCGAGTCGAGCGGGGCTCAGGAGGACTTGGCGGCCGGCCGGCCGAGGACGGCGATGACACGTGTCGAGTGACGAGGGGACGAGTATGGAGTACGCTACTCGTGGGCGGTTTGGTGGTTTAGGCCTCAAAACCATCGGTGGCCAGTTTTACGGGTTTGGACATCAAAACCCGGGCGGAGATTCCGAGGAGGAACGGACGCCACGTGGCGGCATCGAGGAGTTCGCGTCGAGGCGAAGCTATCTCATAAAGGGCGCGGTGGCCGTCGGACGAAGGTTGCCTCGGGTTGGACCATAGTGTCCTCGGGTTAAATAGTGCGACTCAAAAATATCTAAGGGCAAAACTGGGATTGTGTAATAGTCCTGTTAAATAGAATGAGGGAGCTCCCATCTCCCTTACCTCTTTCATTTTGCTTCATCCTTCTCTAGGTTTTCTCCTTCCCTTAGGTTTTCTTGTGAGAGAGGTTCACAAATTGGATAATTTGTGTAAGAACCAAAGATTGCAGCAGCAATGGAGGCCCTAACCTACTCGTGTCCTCTGAGATTCGATTTGTGAGTTATTTTTGTGAATCGCGTTTGTGTTCTTCGCGTTCTTCCTTTTCCCCCTTCTCTTGCATGGTTCGATTCGTCGTTTTGAGACCGTTTTGATTCGTTCCTTTTGCACTGAGATAAACTAGGACGTGAGTTGAGCCTTTTCACCGAGGGATTTCATCTAATTCCTCACAAGTTCATAGATCGGGGCGAATCAAGCTCTAGGGTTGAGAAACCGGTGTTTTTCGTGTTCATCCAATTTCCCGTTGATTGGCTTCAAATTGGGCGATGATCTTTTAGAGCTAGCTCACCTATTGCCGTGTGACCATGTGATTAAAATTTGGTGGCAATTGGTTTTGATTTGGTCGCAAATCGGGATTTTCCTTGCTTCGGGCGTTTTTCGTACGACTCTGTTCGTGCTGATTTCGCGACTCGCGGACAGTCCGCCCTGACCCTCGGACAGTCCGCCGTTATTGTTCACGTCGTGAGCAGAAGGTCTTTCTTTTTATCGTGTTTTGCTGCTCTGAACGCCGGACAGTCCCGGCCTACCTGCGGACAGTCCGGGAATCAACCGTGGACAGTCCGCCATTCTTCTTTCTGCCCAGGTCAGAACTGTTTCTCATCGTTCAGTTTTCGGGAGTTGAACACCGGACAGTCTGGCCCTCAACCCCGAACAATCCGGGACCTGACCCGCGGACAGTCCGGGCTCCCTACGGCAGACAGTCCGACCCTGTGCAGATTGTGCTGTTTTTCTCTCATTCTTTCGAGCACTTGTTTCCGTCTGTTCTCGGATGATCCGCTGTACCTCTTGTTCATCGCCAAAGGTACCCAGCCACCCGTTGGCTTGTGATCATACCGTTCTCTAGTGCCTTTGTTCTTGGGTCGTGATTTTGAGACAACAGTTTAAAGTTTCAAAAAAAATTTGAGGCTCCTATTCATCTCACCCTTGTCGCCGTTTTCGGTCCTTTCACCCACCCAGTTGTTTAGGAGTAGCGCGTAATGCCCCTCAGCTTGCACGCCTCGCCTCGCCACGGCGCTCAATGATTTGTCCCCATCATAACTGCTGTCATTGAGACCAGTTGCAATGGCAACGGCAACGGCAACAGCACGGGAGACTAGATTTTAGATGAGTTGCAATGCACAACGGCGAGTAGTCAGTCCATTAATACAGGACACTGCTTCCATTATGCGACGGGAACCGTGCATTAACGCGCGATGATGATTGTGCATGCATTATGATCGAGTAGCTCGACGGAAACGGTCTGGAAAGAGCACGGGAGCGCAGGAGACAGGGGGAATGAGCACAAGATTCCCTGCCAGCTCGAAAGAGGGGGCGGGGACAGAGGCGGATCTAGCACCAGGACGGGTTCGGCTTGAGCCCCCGCTACTGCTGCCAGGACCATGGAGCTCCTCCTAAGCCTCTCCTATAATTTTGCATCTATTCAAGCTTGAAAGAAAAGACTATCGATAAAAGATTATGAGATAAGTCCCTCCTAACTTATTTTCCAGATCCGCCACTGACGGGGAGAACGTGGTGGGCAGGAGCCGGCGGGCCTGTCCTGCCTCGCCGGCCGCCGGCCGCCATCCCTTTCTTCTCCCCCACTCTACACAGCCAGGCGTGTGCCACGGCTATGGCTGCCTCATGTAGTGTAGGTACTTATGTCAGTCGGTAGCTGTCACCAACTAAACTAATCTATCATCAGCATGTGTATATACGGAGTTACATGGCATGGTGAAGAATATCTAATTAATCTGATGGTGTTGTTCGATGATCCGTTGCATTGCAGGTGCGGAGGGACTTCGGGTCGCTGGACAAGTACGTGTGGGCGTTCGTGAACAACAAGCCGCTGTCGCCGAGCTACAAGTACAGCCGGAAGATCCCCGTGAAGACGTCCAAGTCGGAGTGGCTTCCGCTTCGTCGGCCCCACTGTCATCCACTCCTTCATGCAGGCGGTCGGGCTCACCAACGACCACCTCGTCTCGTGCCCGCGCCACCGCGTATGCTCCTCCTCCGCCGCCGCCACCGCCGGCGCAGCCGCCCGCGTTAACTGATTCTGCTGACCACCGAGCGAAACACAAGGGAGAAGAAACTTATCTAAGGAGTAAGGACAACCAACCAAGAGGAGAAAAGAGAAAAGAGAGAGAACAACCTCTGGTAGCAGCTCGTCCGTTCACTTGAAACATATAAGTTCGTCTTTTTAATCAATAAATAGTATTTTTTCTCTCTCACAAATCAATCATGGCGGTATTTATACAAAACGGAGTGCTGGTTTGCAAGTGTGTATGATTCGATCATTAATTGCCGCCCCTAATGAGCTTGCTTGCTAGTATACAAAACCCAGTGCTGGTACCACGTGACGTGAGTACCATGATGATGGTGCAGTGTGTGCGGTAGGTGCGTGCACGTGGCGTAGATTAATTGCCGCCCCTAATGAGCTTGCTTGCTGTGATTTGCATGCCCCCATTGCCTTAAGTACCACGTGACGTTCGATCACCACTAGATACAGCACCTAAGTTTTGCAGATGCAGACGTGCAGTACAAAAATATTATTTCCAA